GGAGGCCAGGGGCTTCCCTGTGATGGTCTTATTATTATTATTATTATTATTATTATTATCATTATTATTAATATACTTTTATTGATTTTAGAGAGGAAGGAAGAGGGAGAGAGATAGAAACAGGCTCCTGTGATGGTCTTAAACACAGACAGCTGGTGACTGCCTCTGCCATGGGGCAGCTAATAGTCCAAGAAACTATGAGTCCTGGCCAATGGCTCAGTGGTTAGAGCACCAGCTTACCCACCAAAGGGTGGCAGATTCAATTCCTGGTCAAGTGCATGTACCTGGGCTGCAAGTTTGATCCCTGGCCCCAGTCAAGGCAAGTGCGGGTCTCTCTCTCTCTCTCTCTCTCTCTCATTCTCTCTCTCTCTCTCTCTCTCCTCTTCTTTCCCTCTCTTTCTCTTTCCCTTCCCCCCTCTCTTCCTTCTCTCCCTCCCTCCGTCCTTCCCTCCCTCTCTCTCTAAAAATCAATGGAAAAATATCCTTGGGTAAGAACTAACAACAACAAAAAAAACATCATGACAGTGCCATTTTACCCCATGTCCAATTTTTTGAATAAGGCCCTGTTCTGGAAAGATGTGGCAACTGGACCAGGAGACCACGAGTGCCTATTTAGTGAGCGCCTACTGTGTGCGGCCAATTCTGGGCACTGGGGTGCCCCCTGGTGTCTGTGTGGGCGGGGTGAGGTCCCCTGCCCCCCACTCCTAGCAGCAGTGGGTCAGGAGGAGGGAGAGGACGGCCCTGGAGCTGGCGCCCAGGCACTCGGCTCCTTCTCTGCTCACAAGTCTCTGAGGGACGAAGCGTCGTCCGCCTCTCACCAGGCTGACCACCTCCTCCCACTCTGCCTGGGGCAGGCCTGGCTTTGCACCAAATGCTCCATATCCTGGGGGTCCAGGGCTCCCCGAGAGTCCACAGTGGCCGGGTGGGGCAGAGAGAGAAGTCAAAGGCACCCAGGCCACCGCGCTTTGAGGAAGCCCCCTGACATGTCTTTTTGACAAGAGTGGCTGGTCCCAATGCTAGTCCCCAACCCTGTGTTGGTATCAAGCCAACGTCTTCTTGGAAAAGCAAGGTGGCAATTTGTACTGAGCCGTAAAATTGTTCATCGCCGGTGACTGAACAGCGCTATGCTTAGAAATCTATCCTAAGGAAATTATCCTATCTTTTATTATTAAAAAGCTTTTGCAAAGAACATGTTCTCTGCAGCACTATCTGGGAGAGAAAATACACCTCAGGAGCCCACATAGGGTGACGGCTGTGTACACGGTGACCCGGCTGCCCGGGGACATCGCCGCTCGGCCGTCACGGCGTAGCTGGCGGTGCCTGTGGCAACACGGAACACTCTCACCAGGTGGGGAGCGTCTCCTGGGACAGAGTGAAAACAATGTGTGTCTTCTGCCTGCAGTTTTGCAAAATGCATCTGATTGAGGACAAGGCTGGAGAGGAATGCGCAGAGTGCTAGGGGGGCTGCGAATAAGGAACGATTTTTAAAAATTAAAGGTGGTTTTCCATCCCCCTCTATTGTCTTTTAAAAAGCAAGGAAGGGAAGCTTGGAATTTGCTGCCCAGACCGGCTCGTGCACGTGGACAAAGGCAGCACTTGCAAAGATGGTCTGCGTGGCACTGGCGGGAACAGCACGTGCTTAGAAGCAACCTGAATACCCTGCAGGAGGGGAACGGTTACTAAATAAAAAGCTGGCACCTCCATACGATGGAGGACCACGCGGCTGTTGGAAAGAATGAGGCAGCTGTCCAGCTATGAGATGACCATTAAGATACAATAAGTAAGAAAGGCCAAGTGCAGAAGTGTGCCGAGAATGCTGCTATGTGTGTAAAAATGACACACGCACATACGGAGGTACCTAGATTCCTACATAAGCACAGACTGTGGAAGGACATCCTGGGACTCTGTGAGGGGTCCAGGTATTAGGGAGACAAGGATGGGAGGGCGTGTACCTCCACTCCATGCATTCGGTACCTGCGGTGGGTTAAATGGTGCCCCTCCCCTCCCCAATATACATCCAGGTCCTAATTCCCAAAAACCTGTGAATGTGACCTTATTTGGGGGCAGATGTGCAATGTGATTCAGGTAAGGATCTCCAGATGAGACCATTCTGGATTCCCTGGGTGGGCCCTAAATCCAATGACAAGTGTCCTTGTAAGGGACTCAGAGGTGAGATGCAGAGAGAAGAGGCCACACGAAGACAGAGGCAGAGGTGGCAGGGATGTGGCCACAAGTCCAGGACCACCTGGGGCCACCAGGAGCTGCATGAGGGGAAAATGGAATCTCCCCCAGCGACTCCAGAGGGAGCATGGCCCTGCTCACACCTCCGTCTCAGACTCCCGGGCTCCAGAACACTGAGAAGATAAATTTATGTTGTTTTACTTATTTTTTAAAATATATTTTCATTGATTTTAGAGAGGAAGGGAGAGGAAGAGATAGAAACATCAACGATGACAGAGAATCATTGATCAGCTGCCTCCTGCACGCCCCCCACTGGGGGATGGAGCCCACAAGCCTGACCGGGAATTGAACTGGGACCTTCTGTTTCACAGGTCAACGCTCAACCACTGAGCCACACTGGCCGGGCAATTTCTGTTGTTTTAAACACCCCAGCTTGTGATAATTTGTTACAATTACCCTAGAAAATGAACACAGCACCTTTTGGATTTTTTTGGGGGGAGGGGGTATATGATCAGAATTCCTGTTCAAAATAAACTTAACATATACAAAAATACTCATAGAAGCTTTACTCATAAGCACACTAAACTGCAAACAACCAGGACATCTGCCAAGAGCAGAGGGGAAACAAGCGGCCGTGGCTGTGAACACAACGGGACCCTTAGACTCGGAGATGCGGTAGAAGAGACGGATGGACTAGCGATCCGCCGCATGGCGAGCCGCACAGCCAGCCTGACCACTGAGAGAAGGAGCCAGACACAGAGCCACCCACGTGGTTCCGTTTGTCTGAAGTCCAAGGACAGACCCGCCGGTGCAGGTCAGAGCAGGGCTAGCTTGGAGGGTGCTGCCTGGGAGGGGATTCGGGCAGGAGATTTGGGCTCGAGTTCCGCATCTTGATCTCAGTGGTAGTTTCTCCGAATAAACATGTACACAGCGTCACGGAGCTGGACACGTAAGGTTTGTTCATTTTAAGGAATATATGCTCGACCTTAATTTAAAAAAGAAACAATAATGGTGGGGCAGGAGATCCCCTTCGAAGAGCCAGGCCCCTCATTTTAGAACGCTCTGGCCTGGAACAAATCCAGAACGAACGATGAAAGGCACAAGAGACCTTGAGGAGCATCTGCTTCCGAATTCTCAGCTCCCAGAGGAGGCTCAGGGAGGCTGCATCATCAGGCACACGTCCCTGCAGCTAAGGGGTGACCCAGCAAGGGGACACCTGCTCGCCTGTTTCACGACACAGCCCCTCCTCCATCACAGCCGGGGCAGGCTCCAGGCTGGAAGCGAGGGAAGCCGCGGAGCAGACCTTGCTCTGGGTGAGGGGACACAGGGGCCGTCGGTGCTGGCACTGGACACTGGGCCTGGCGGACGTCAGCAGCCTCCTCGCCATCGCAGAGATGATCAACTGTGTTCCCGCCTTCTCCTCTGCTCCCTGCAGTGTGTGTGTATCTTCTTGGTTTTCACAGAGCCCAGTCACGTGTGGGGCTCACACATGTGGTCACCAGTGGGCCACAGGTCTCGCTGGCACTCCAGGGAGGGGCTGGGGGGCAAATAAGGGAGTAACGTGGACACCACCCTGGAAAGTCCGCCATCAGGGGAGGCCTGAATCATGGGCTCAAACACTGCAGCCTGCAGGGCAGGGGCAGGGGCAGGGGCAGGGGCAGGGGCAGGGGCAGGGGCAGGGAGCAGAGCACGGGGCTTGGGGGCTGGGACGGGAGAGGGTGGGGGATGGGGTGAGGGAGCAGCATCGGAGAAGGGCCTGGAGGACGGGTCAGGGGGAGGGGGTGGGGTGAGAGAGGGGAAGGCCGGGAGGAGCAGGGGCAGGGGCAGGCGTCCAGGGCCGGCTGGAGTCCTCAAAGGGCAGGGTCATTGCTGCGGCTGGCGGGGCCTGCGGTTGAGGCTGATGGAAAGGGCTGGGGGTGCTGAGAGGGCGGGCGGGAGAATGGAAAATGCTTCTCTAGAGCATGCGAAGTTCCACATTTGTGTCCCAGTTCCCTGTGTGACCTTGGGCATGTCACCCGACCTCTCTGAGCCTTCACTTCCTCATCTGAAACATGGGAATAAGAACACCTCCTGGACTGCTGTGAGGATCCAGTGAGCTCGGCACAGAACCAGGAGCCACCACGAGGAAGCCCGTCTTTGGCAAACACTGACTGAGTGCCTACTGTGTGCCAGGTGCTGAGGAGGACCTGGGGGTCGACGGTGAGGGGTGACGGTTCCTGGCTTTCTGGGGAGAGATGGACAAGTTAACGAGGCTCTTGATATGTGGTGGGCGGGATCAGGGTGAGCTTCCTGGAGGAATGATGGATGCATGGAGACCCCAGAAAGAGAAGACACTCCCATGATGTGGAGAGGGAACAGCACCGAGTGAAGACCTGGTGTGGGGAGGGCCTGAATCAGGAGCCCATTGTTCTCCTGGGGGCAGGAGTGCCCCTACCAGGGCTGGAATTGGTCTCAACAACGTGTGTGGGAGCCACTGGCGTTGGTGGGTCAGTGGGCAGGAAGGCTAGACATCCCGCAATGTGCCGGCCAGTCCCCCAGGACAAAACACCAGCCCACCTCCCATGTGACAGTCTGACGTCTTGCCGGGCGATCACGTAGGCGGAAACCCTGTTAGAGATTATCTGCATTTAGAATCTCACTTCATTTTACATATAAATGCAAATTTTCATTTCCTGGCCAGTTTTAATAGTCACTGCATTCCTGGGAGTGCAACCACCGTGTCAGTTGAGGGAAGGTTGCTCTTTGTTTCGTTTGGACGGTAACCAAGAGCCGGTCACCATTTCGGAAAATGACGTCACCGACGGCCTCACCCACAGGCACACCTGTGACCATCTGCACTTGTGGCCGGTGCCTGCCTGGGGCTCCTGGAATCCCAGCAAGAGTCTGATTCCTTCTTGATTTCCCCGAGGGGGTCGAGGGTTCCCACTTACGATTTCATGCAAGTTTCCTTCCTTTTAATCCTCCTCCTTTCTATTTTAATGAGGGCATCATATCAATGTTTTGGAAATCACATGTACTCATGAATTATATATTTATGACTTCAACTTCAGAATAGAAAGTCATATTATAAAATATCAGTTTTATTAAAAACAAAAAAACAAAAAAACCCGGGTCTGAATGCTTGTGAGCCCCTGAGTCAGGAGGTGGGAAAAGGGTTCATGATGATGAGCCAGGAATGGAGGGACCAGCCAGCCCAGGGCCCACAAGAAGCGTGTGTTCCTCAGGGATGAACCAGGAGAGGGGACCTGGATGCCCACCCCCCAAGCAGCGCCCTCAGGGGGAGCCTAAGCCCCTGGCCTGCTGCTGACCCCCATGCGCGGGTCCTGGGAGCAGCGCGCGGCTGCCCCGCTGGGTCAGGAACGGGGAGGTTCTTTATGGGAAGACAACTCTGAAGCTGAATGCCCCTAAGATGCAGCCAGTCTTGAAGGCGTGTGAGTGGCCGACGCCCCCCCTCCCCCCAGGAGGGCAGGGAAATGTCAGACGAAAGACTTCCCGGTGGACTGGCAGGTCACCCGGACAGAGTGCATGTTCTAAAGCCCTAGCATTCACCACGAGAGGGACGGCCTCTATGTGAGTAAGAACGTAGTTTCCTGTTTGATAAATGTGAAAATATTTTAAAACTATCAGGAGGAGTGTGACATTCCCAACCTGCTTGGACCCCCCTGGTTGGGCCCTGGCTGTGGCTTGGCGGCTTAGAGGATGAGACAGCCAGGCATTGGCCCACTGACCAAAGGCCCCATAAATCACGTCACGAAGCTGGAACTTTATCCCACATTTAATGGGAAGCAGTTAGTCAATGCTGAGCAGGGAGCAATGCAACCAGATTTTAGAAAGTCGGTCTGGCTTCAGGGTGGGCATGGGCGGGAGGGGCCAAGATCAGAGGCCGGGAGGCCAGTCGGAGCCAGTTGGGAGCCCGCGGGTGTCCTGCAGGGGTAGGCACGGCGGCCCAGATCATCTAAGAGGCAGGAGATGACAGTAGGGCCTTGTCGAAGGAAGATGCAGGTGGCCCGACTTGTCTGGAGGTTCAGGGGGCCAGAGGTGGCCTGGATCGTCCAGGGGAGAGATGACAGTTGCCTAGATGGACAAACGGGCATCGAGGAAAATGGTCCTGTGCAGGGCACCGCTCCGTGAAATGCTCTCAGAACCCCGACTGGCCCGGGAGCAGAGAAACCCTGGGCCCAGTGGGTGCGGGGCGCCCTCTGCTGGCCACTTTCATCGCCCGCAGTCTGATGCGGGACCTGCCTCAGATATTGGATGTTTGTGGCAGCGAGCGAGGGGCGGTGTGGGGAGAGGGTCTCCTTTCTGCGCACGTGGGCGGGGGAGGCAGTCGCAAGGAGCTGGCCGGTCCCCGGTGGATGAGAAAGAAGCCACAGAGCACAGGCGTCTACGTTTTTCATTTCAATGTTGTGTCCCCATCACTAGGGGTCTGCCCTCCCCCCATGCCCCTCCCGGCGCCATCTCTCCCACAGGCCGCCTTATTGGCCTCTATCTCTACCTGGCATTCACAGTAACCCCGATAAGCACAATAGTGTTAAAATTACTTTAATGGATATAACTGCCACTTCCATTTATTTATTAGATAGTATTTAAATGGATGTACCTACTACACATCATGAATATTTTACTGGATATTGGGTATTATTTACTAGATACTGAATTCACAGTAGCCCACAATAATCACAGTATTAAATATTCAGTGACTAGAACGACTCCTACTTACTTACTGGGCACAGGATAGGACGTTACCTCGTTCAATCCTCTCTTCTAATATCAAGCCTATTTTTCTGATGAGAAAACTGAGGTTCCCCAAGGTGAACTCCCATGTCTGAGGCCACACTGTTCCGCAGGTGCAGACCCTGGTGAACCCTGGGCCGGACTTGGAGGCCAGTGCTCTCTCTCCTTTGCTTTCCTGGTCCCTCAGCTGAGCCAGAGTACAGGCCCCCCTAACACATGGGGCCCCTCGCAGACCCTGGAGCAGAGGGAAAGTTCTAACCGGGCTGGCGTGCGCGGACATCGAGCAGGGGGAGCCGCTTACCTTCCGCCATCTCGGGAGCCGCTGGGCAGGAGCTCCTCACTTGAGTAGCAAGGAAGGTGGAGTTGATGCCCAAGGCATAGGGCCTGACACGTGCGCACCCCGAGTTCCTGCTCGGCCTTCAGGGCTGCGGGGTGGACCCTCGGGGATCCCTAGACGCCCTGGAGCCCACCACTCCCGCTGGAGGGAAACAGGACTTTGTGGAAGTGAAGAGGCTCTGGGCAAATCCGTCTGTGTGACCAGGACTGTTGATTAAAGGAAGGCCGTTGGTTGGTTGGGGAAGAACAGCCTTTTCCAATAACATCCTTTCAAAACAAATCCATCTCGGCTCTGCGGGGCCAGTCCCGGCCTACAGGAGCTTCAGGAAGACCCAGCGCATCTGAAAGAGTCCCTGCAGGTTGTCTCTCCGGAGATGCACCTGAGAAAGTCCCTGGCGGTCAGGGAGGAAGGGCAGGCGCAGGATTAGTCCTCACTGAACACCCGCTGCCCCGTTGGCCTGGCCCTGGGCTGGGTGTGCTCCATGTGCCCTCGCCAGCTCTCTAGGAGGTGGGCATTCATTACTCACCCCTGGGAGACTGAGGCACGGAAATGTCCAACAGCGGCTGGGGAGTGACAGGCCTGGGGTTTGAACCCAGACTCTTCACGCCCCCAAAACCCTAACATTTCCCCCACAAGTGACCTTTGTATTTGGCCTGTGGCCCACTTTGATTTCCAGGTCTTTTTCTCCTCCCTTTGTGCACGAGGCCAGTCCTGCCCCATCTGGCAGCACTGTGTGGTGGGTAAGTGCACAGGTTCTGGCGTGAATCCTGGGCCTGCCACTCGCTAGCGCTGGGGAAACGACTTTACCACTCTGTGCCTCAGTTTCCTCATCTGTAAAATAGGGACAGTGATAATAGCACCTACCTCCCGAGGACCATGGGAAGACACACGAATTGATATTTATGTAGATGAAATCTTAGAGCCTGGTACAAGATAAGTGCTCAACAAATCCGGGCTTTTATCCACAGGGGTAGTTAGCCCTGGGAGCTTCAGAAAAACACCAACTCGTGCGTCTCACCTTGAATTGGCCTCAGGTGGAGGTCCGGTGGTTGTCAGAGCTCCCAGGTGAATTCGACACTCAAGCGAAGGTGAGAGGCACCGGGCAGAGTTTCCACGCAGGCAGGTGTCCTGGGCCCCGGGACCGTGGGCAGCACCCAGCCGGTGTCGGGAGGTGCCGGGGTGCTGCTCAGGGCCCTTTGGGTCCATGTCACTCTATTCAGCATCGAGATCTCATCTCCCATCGGTGAGGAGGGAGGTCGCCTGCTCACACCAAGGTCATCGGCCCTGAAATAAAGACAAGCCTTGTCCCATCCTGAAAGTCCCTAATGCAAACATGAAGTCATCCCGGCCCTGCCTCTGCCAAGGGCTGTGGCAGCTCCGCCCAGACTGACGGGGCCGAGTCCCCGGGAATTCCCGAGAAGGGGCCCGCCCGTTTCATGTGCCGGCCCCTGGCGTCCCCGGGACGTGCAGGAGAAAGTCAGGCCCTGGGAGGGTGTGGGGGCTCGTGGCTCTGGTCCAGGCCCACCCCTTCCCAGTCACTCACATTCTCCTCCCACAAAAGGGGACACGTTTTACAAATGATTTCAGCTTTCTGGGCCTTTATTTTCTCATCGGAAAATACCTCCCAGGTTGTCGTGAGGATTCAAATGATGGCAGACAGAGTGGGGCTGCCGGAAGTGGTGGCTCCACCACGACAGCCCTGCTGCTGTGGTGACGGGTCCCAGGAGGTGGCCAGGAGCATCCTCTCAGAGGGGGGAGGGGGCACTGCCATGCCCTAGCCCCTGGCGAGGAGCAGCTGGCAGTGCTGGGGGGAGGGGGAAGGAAGGAGGGGGCTGCAAGGGCTTGAGGCCTGGGCCTAGCGAGAGGAAGAGTTAGAAGCTGACAGACAGCAGACAGAGAAAGTGCATCGGCACCAGCCAGACCCGTCCTCCGCTCTCTGAAAGACAGCATTTTCCTCACACACATACAGGGACCACATCCCCAAGGCCAGGCCCGGAGTGAGATGCGCCACAGGCAGGGCATGCATCGAGGGCCAGCCTCCCGCAGCCCTTCCAGTACCAGCCTCTGTTCCCGTGTAAAGGCAGCTGGGGCTCAGAGGGGTGAAGGGCTCCAGAATCCACACCAACTTGCCCACGTGTGAAGCCAGACCTCTTCTACTCTGTTTGCAATGGGATGTGGTGTGGAGGTCTAAGGCACCTCCCTAAATTTAAAATAACACAATGGCCCTAGTCAGTTTGGCTCAGTGAACAGAGTGTCAGCCTACAGATCGAAGGTCCTGGCATCGATTCTGGTCAAGGGCATGTACCTTGGTTGCAGGCAACTCCCCAGCCCAGGTCCTGGTCGAGGTTCCTGCAGGAGGCAACCAATTGATGTGTTTCTCTCACATTGATGTTTCTCTCTATCTTTCCCTCTCTCTTACACTCTCCCTGAAAATCAGTGGAAAAATATCCTCGGGCAGGGATAATCAATCAATCAATCAATCAATTAATTAAAAAAACACGATGGAAGAGGAGCCATAAGTCTAGGAAGCTGGTTCTCTTCAACACTCATTTACAACATTCTTTTATTATTATTATTTTTTTTAATTAAATCTTTATTGTTCAGATTATTACATTTGTTCCTCTTTTTTCCCCCCATAACTCCCCTCCTCCCAGTTCCCGCCCCAACCTCTGCCCTCATTCCCCACCCACTGTCCTCATCCATAGGTGCACGATTTTTGTCCAGTCTCTTCCCGCATCTCCCACACCCCTTTCCCCCCCAAGAATAGTCAGTCCATTCCCTTTCTATGTCCCTGATTCTATTATGATCACCAGATTATTTGTTCACTTGATTCTTAGATTCACTTGTTGATAGATGCATGTTTGTTGTTCATAATTTGTATCTTTACCTTTTTCTTCTTCTTCCTCTTCTTAAAGGATACCTTTCAGCATTTCATATAATACTGGTTTGGTGGTGATGAACTCCTTTAGCTTTTCCTTATCTGTGAAGCTCTTTATCTGACCTTCAATTCTGAATGATAGCTTTGCTGGATAAAGTAATCCTAGTTGTAGGTTCTTGCTAGTCATCACTTTGAATATTTCTTGCCACTCCCTTCTGGCCTGCAAAGTTTCTATTGAGAAATCAGCTGACAGTCGTATGGGTATTCCCTTGTAGATAACTGAGTTTCTTTCTCTTGCTGCTTTTAGGATTTTCTCTTTGTCTTTTGCTCTTGGCATTTTAATTATGATGTGTCTTGGTGTGGTCCTCTTTGGATTCCTTTTGTTTGGGGTTCTCTGCGCTTCCTGGACCTGTAAGTCTATTTCTTTCACCAGGTGGGGGAAGTTTTCTGTCATTATTTCTTCAAATAGGTTTTCAATATCTTGGTCTCTCTCATCTTCTGGCACCCCTATAATTCTGATGTTGGTACGCTTGAAGCTGTCCCAGAGGCTCCTTACACTATCTTCGTATTTTTGGATTCTTTTTTCATTTTGCTTTTCCAGTTGGGTGTTTTTTGCTTCTTCGCATTTTGAATCTTTGACTTGATTCTTGCGCTCCTCTGGTCCGCTGTTGGGAGTCTGTATAATATTCGTTATTTCAGTCCGTGTATGCTTAATTTCTAGTTGGTTCTTTATCACAATATCGAGGGTCTCATTAGATTTCTTGAGGATCTCACTACATTTATCGGCGGTCTCACCAGTCTTTTTGAGGGCCTTACTAAGCTTATCGGCAGCTTCTAGACAGTTCTTGAGAGACCTTAAAAGTGTGGTTTTGAGCTCTATATCTTCCATTTCTGACATTTGCGTCCTGTTTCTTTGTCTCTGCATTTTTTTATCTTTTCTTGGTGCACCCCCTAGTGGTCTTTGTGCGAAGTCTTGTTGTAGTTAAGCCTTAATTGTTGTCGGCAATAGTGGGGGTGATTTGACCTCCAGGCTAACTGGCTATGAGAGTCAGCTGTGTCTGCAGTGGGAGAGCTTCTGTGCTGGATCTCTAGGGCGGTGCTAATCTAGCGTTTGCCTGAGGCTATCCGGCAAATGGCTCTGTGCAGGGCTTGGGCGGGGTGGGTCCCCGGGGATCTACAGGGCGGGCCGGATCGAGCAGTTATGGCTGCTCTCAGTTCCGTCCCTAGGGGCTCTGCCTCACAGAGTCCCAGCAACCTCTGCAAACCTTGGAGAGAAAGCTGCCTTCGAGTTCCTACCGAAGCCAGACAGTCCCGCTTCTCCCGTTTGAGTCTGGGTCCCTAGAGACTCGCCCGGATCTGGAGCTCAGAGTCTGAAACTCCCTCCCGGTTGAAAACAACAACTGCGCCCTCCGCCGCCAGCCCGCTCTGCGCGCACTCCGAACCTGAGTATTTCACTTCAGCACTGCGCCTCCTCTGAGTCTGGGTATGATATTCTCTTTCCTCCTAGTTGTAGAATTTCCACTCAGCCAGCCTTCCTGTGGTTCTGGATGATGTCCGTTCCGTCTTTTAGGTGTACCCTTGAATTGGTTGTTCGAGGCAGCAATCTCCGGCGTTAACCTATGCTGCCATCTTGGTTTCTCCCATTTACAACATTCTTTCAAAAGATATTTACTGAGTACCCACTGGGCACTGGGAACCCAACAGGGAACAAGACAGACAAGGTATGTGGGTTAATGGAGCCAGCATTCCAGGGAGTGTGTGTGGAGTGGGATGAGCAGGGGAGCGAGACAAAAAGTAAACAAATAAATAAAGATGATGAAAGATTATAAGAGCTATGTATCAGTTATCTATTGCTGCATAACAAACACCCCACACATACAGCTTAAAAGAACCAGCATTTATTTCCTCACAATTCTGCAATTTGAGCTGGGCTCATCTGGGCAGTTCTTTTGCTGGTCTTATCTGGGGTCATATGTAGCCTCAATTGTCACCAGGTGGCTCAACTGGGCTAGAGGGTTTCAGAGGCCAAATGGCAAAGGCCATTCGGGGCCCAGCTTTGGTACCAGCACAACGTCACTTCCGCCACATTCTATTGGGGTGCTGAGTCACAAGACCAGCCCAGACTCAGGAGATGGGAAAATGAACTCCCCTATGGCCATGCTTTTCAAGCCACCCGGGGTCGGAGAGACATCAACAAAGTGATCAATCGGACAGAAGTCAGAAGTCAGGCCCACAGACATATATGCTGGCCTGAACAGTGTCATACTTTTTCCAAAAAATTAAACTAACGTTAAATACAGAAACCAGAGCAGTTCACGTAAAACTCCAGCTTTGGGGGGAAAATCAGAAGGTCTGGCCACACGAGGCCCACGTTTCCACAGCGCAGCAGAGGATGGGCTGAGCGGTGCTGCCTCCGCCTGCTGATTCCTCACCCCGAGGCTGAGTGTCCGCTGTCGTTTCGGACCGACTCTTCAGCTATTCTGACAGTAGCCCTCAGAGAAGTGAGCCCTCTCTCCTACCTGGGCCTCCTTGGAGAGCGAAAACGTGAAAGATGAGCTGAGAAGAGCCCATGTTCGGTTATTTACATTGTATGTTACTTGTATTTGTAGAGAATCAGCAGTTGATGCTCTAAGCCAGCAGTTCTCAACCTATGGGTCGCGACCCCTTGGGGGTCGAGCGACACTTTCACAGGGGTCGCCTGAGACCATCGGAAAACACATATATAATTACATATTGTTTTTGTGATTAATCGCTATGCTTTAATTATGTTCAATTTGTAACAATGAAATTGGGGGTCACCACAACTTGAGGAACTGTATTAAAGGGTTGTGGCATCAGGAAGGTTGAGAACCACTGCTCTAAGCTCTTCATCCCTTTGGAACCTCAGCCCTTTTCAGCATTTCCAGCCCTTCAAATACAGAGTTGGGGAGAAGAGCAGAGAAGTCCCCTGGAACCAGGTGCCATTGATGCTTCACCCTGAAGGATGAGAAGCTGCAGCCAGGATGAGTGTTAGGCGAAGAGACATAGCACGTGCCAATGTCCTGTGGTCACAGAAGGCCCTGAGGCTGGAGGAGGAAGTGTCCAGTGGCACAGAAATGAAGCTGGAGTGGTGGGTAAAACATTTTGCAGAGGTTCAGAGGCCACAGTGCAAGGGCTGGGTTTCATTCTTAAGACAGCGGGACAGCAGCAAAGGGTTCTTAAGCTGCGGCGTGATGTGGTGGGGGTTCCACAAACTGAGAAAGCAGACTGTGAAGCGAGGGGCTAGGTTTGGGGGGAGGGGTTTTTTAGAAAAGTTGAGAGGAATCAGCAGAGACTGCTGGTAAAGACAGGAGGTTCCTTGCCCTGGAAGGAAGGGAGCTGGGTACAGAGGCCTCCAGGAAGTCAGGTAGGCCTGGGGACTTCTGCTGTTGCCTCTGTAGGTAGAAGGTTTGAGTGGCTCAGATCTAGGGCAAAGCAGCACCAGTGAGTCCTGGCTTACAAAAGCCGTGGCAATGCCCCGCCAACCCTGGGAGCCAGATGTCTGAGATGTGGATGGTTCTGCACGACGGCTGCACGTTAGAATCACTGGGTCCTGTTCCTGGCCCTTCTAGACTGGTCAGATCCGAACTTCTACAGGGTGAGGTTGTGTCCTGCGGCTGCTGTAACAAATGACCATAAACTGGGCGGCTTAAAACAACACACAGTCCCTTACAGTCTGGAGGTCAGCAGTCCCACGTGGGTTACACGGGGCTGCACCGAGGCGTTGGTGGGCTGTCTTCCTCCTGCAGGCTCAGGGAGAATAGTTTCCTTGCCTTTTCCACTTCCAGAGGCTGCCCACATTCCTTGGCCTGTGGCCCTGCATCCCTCCAGCCTCTGCTCCTGTTGTCACATCTTGCTGGGGTCCAGCCCCAGCGGGTCCAGGGGTCCCCAAAGGTGTGGACGGAGTCGGCGAAGAAGGAAGGACACGGAGACAGCGTTCAGTTGATCAGCAGCCTAGCCAGGATCTCCAGCCAGGATCTCCAGCCAAGTTCTGGTCTGGATCTCCAGCTAGGTTCTGTGTCCATGTTCTCTTGCTAGGTTCTCCAGGTTCTCCAGCCAGGTTCTGTCCAGGTTCTCCAGCCAGGTTCAGTCACCAGGTTCTAGTCAGGTTCTTTTGTCAATTTCTGTAGTCAGGTTCAGTCCAGGATCTTTTGCCATGTTCTCTCCAGCAAAGTTCTTCTGTCTGTAGGTTCTGTGTGGGTTCTGTCTTCTAAGTTCTGTGTGTAGGTTCTGTGTTCTTACATCTGTTTTATACCAGTTGATTCCAATCCTATCAATCTCTATTCCAAAGGTTAGGGCATTTCTTATCTCCATTCCAGGGAGTAAAGATTATGTAGCTTAAGCATGATTGTTCGTAGTTAAAGTGATTAATTACCCGCCTGGCACTTAGTTAAGAGGTTTTATTCCCT